ACCGTAATAAAAAGTCCTTCCTCTTCAATCAGATCACCTTTGTGTTGCATTGTATTTGTAATACTTCTAAAAATCCAATTTTTACCTAAATTAAAAAACAGTTATTCCATAAAAGATAATAACTTTGAACGTATATAGAATGAATTTTTGTAATTTGAGTTATGTTACAAAATAATTCATAGTTTATATATTTTATACTAATAATTTAGATAAAACCTGTCCAATTTAAGAATGTGTGTTAACCACATTCTTAAATTGTAAAAGGACGACTTAATCAAATGTAATTCATTTCAAAGCATAAAAGAAAACTTATTTTTTATTTTACACAGCAACAGCATTTTCATGCAGTCAGGTTTTTTTAACTGCTAGTTATTATACATAATACTTAATTTTAAACCCATTCTTATTAGAAAGCATAACTAAGAAACTTCTTTTTAAAGCACCACAGTGATTGCAAAGAATGTCGTTAAATTTACAAAACTATTGAAGATATATTGAACAGCATTATAACAAGAAAGTACTGTACAAAATATGTAAATTTAGCATAACTTCTTTTTTTAGTATTTGCATAGTTTTCCTCCCCAAATGAACCTTAATGGGAAGTTATCTGCTGCGAAAATTTAAAAGTATTAAAATGGCCTCTATTTAAGATGTAACTGCATTTATAATTATTTTGTAATTGCGAATAGATTATATTATTGCAATTAGATTATGCACTTACAACATAATTGCATAAAGTAATGAAATTAAGAGTTCACAGACACAATGTAATATAATTACAATGCAATTATCTAAATTGTAATTATAGTCACTTATTTAATACCACAATATTATTACAATCACAATGTAATTTAAATTGGGTACTATATTTGCATACCCTCCACTCAAAAGGAGGTACTGATAAGCCTGGAAGTTATTATCAACAAAAAGCCTGTTCAGGACAGTTTGATGACAATTTCCACCGGGCGAAAAGTACATTCTTAAGCCCAGGCAAATCATGACAATAAAAATCATTTAGTCTTATGATTCACTATATTTTAAACCCTAAATTTGAATTCTGCACCAAATTATTTACCTATATTTTAACATATTTTATGAATTATTAGAAGCGATATGGCAAATATCTTCTAAAAATAACTGTAAAATATTTGTATCCATTAATTGATTCAGATACACTTTTATTATTTAAGTATATCAAAATAACAGTTTCATGTTCCTGAAATACAAAAATTATGGAAAAAGTTAAAGTAATATTCTTAGAAGCATATGATATTAGTCACCAGATGCAAAAATTATAGTTAATTTTTTGCCCTAAATACAATTTTATTACACAGTAGTCAAATGTGTAACTTAATAACATGTTATATAAAAAATTAATGATAATAAGTTTATCAGAAATGAATTAATTCTGCAAATAAACTTTCTGCACTTGAAAATTTTCTACACCTGAGGGAGGGAGAGATCTAGTAAAATTAGATTTATTATAACTTTAGTTGGACCAAACACCTTCTCTCTCTATATATGCATCACTAAAGAAATAAATAAAATTATCATGCTTAAAAAACAGATATACCATACCAGTTTTTTTCCCCTTGTTACCCTTTACATGAGAAATAACAAACACTGAAAAAATACTATCCTTGAAATTTTGTTTAAATGAAGAACAACACACACACCATCTTTTTATTTAAGCATTACACTTCAAAAACAGATACACATACCAATTTATTTCACTAGCCTTTATACTGAAAAATAACATGCCATATAAAAATGAAAAAAATTATCCTTAAAATTTAGGTAAAATGATGTAACACATACTATCTTTTACTCATGCATTACTGAAATGAATAAAACGATTATGCTTCAAAAACAGGATACACATAAATATAGGATACACATTGTGACCCATATCATGAAGGTTCACTGAAACAGCACAATCAGCCAGTACTTCAAATAAAGCAATATGAAATAACAAAATGGGAAAAAATTATGCACGCTGGACATCTCTTTTCTATTGCATGTTGTCTGACATGATCCACAAGTGCCTAAAAACTGTACCCTAAAGAAACGCATTTCAATATTAACACAAAAATTGTTTACAGATTACAATTCATTCATTTTCATACCAGTATTATAAAGATCATGCATGAAACAAATCTGCTTTCCCATACTTTTAAGTAAAACTTTTATACTGGAAAATAGACTATATTTCTATATATTAGAAACAAGAAAATACTAATTTGAATGTTCTGCATTCATTTCTAAATCTTTACTCCATTGCCAAATTGTATAATACTGTGATTATAAATAAACTTGCACAATCCTTGCAATTATTGAAGTCAGATTATATATATTTTGTCTCACACTATTCAATTTATTCTATTGACTTCAGATGTCAATGTCAAAATTCTGGAAGTTATTTTAAGCCAAGAAACAGTAGTGGGCACCGTGCATAAACAACTCATCTAACTTTTCAACAATAGTGATTATAAAATTAAAGGAAAAAAATTATATATCATTCCAACGATATTGCAACTATAGTGTAATGTTACATATATCTTTAGCAAACATTCAGATTTTAATCTTGACGTTTCCAAATTATTATTTATTTTTTAATAAATTTCAATATTGCTAATGATTTTCATGTTACATTAGTATAATTCCACAATTAGCACAGGAAAACAAAATCCGCGCTGTATATTAGAAGAGAAATTTCTTTTCCACATTCAAAACATCTACATTGGCGATGTTTGGCGACTGGTACATTAACCCTAGACTAATTTAATTATAGCTATTATTACAGAAATTAGCAAATACTCAGGTTATTGTACACAAGAATTTCACTTGACTTGCACATTATAAACATCAGAGAAGATATAAACTCTAAATGAAGGCGTAATTAACATTATACTTATTAAGCAAAGGTCAGCGCCTGGACCAGGTTTCCAATTGTCTCTTCGGCAATTATTTACCCATATTTTTCTTCTTTCTTCATTTTTAGGAAATTTTACCAATGTATGACTTTTCCGTGAATGATTTGAACAATTAACAGCTGTACATGTACATCCGCCCATTTTACACAAAAGAAACACAAAAAATTGTTGCACCGTAACTACACAGCCGCCATTAAATCTCCCACTTGGGAGCGCGAATGCCTGATGATTCAGCCTGGTATATAGGAGCCTTAGTTGGACCCAGACTCGGACTCGATTGCATAGGCATTTACGTGATTTTCCCCATATATTACGTGATAAAGTGCTAGTTCCCTTTAGGCATCCGTTCCCTTAGGTAGATAGCTCAAATGGGGCGTTTACCTCAGTTCAATCAATCCAACACTAATCCTATGCTTCAGGACTGGATACATAAAACATCGAAATTTAAAGATTGTTTAACCGGCTTCCTTCTAATGCTAACATGTCGCGGTAACACATAATAACAACCTGGATATAATCGGAACAGTAAGGTTTTGAGGAACTCTTTAATTCTTTGTTTTGCTCTGCTAAATTTCTTGAATGCTTTCAAAATATTGCCTTCTAAGCTTATATTTTCAATAAAAGGAACACAGAATAGTGCAGACGATTGATCCAGTGAGGAAGTATAGCGGTAAGGAATAATTATACTTTTGTTTGCACTAAATTGCTCTGTGAAAACTAAGTAATGCGAAGAAAACTGTTGATTTCTGTTATTCAGAATTTCAGTTCATATCAGAACTGTGTCGACTTCATTAAAAAATACCATTTAAGCATGCGTTTTTGCAAGTTGATGATAGTTCTTTGAAAGTGCTGAACAATAATATGTCAATAATCAATATTCGCAGTCATCGTTTGGCAGCTTCTTTTGAATTTCTTGAAATAACTCAGTCCAGAACAATATGAATAAAATTTTAACTTTTATTCAAGAATTTGTACTCGTTGTTATCACATTTAAATAAAATATGCTCCGTGATTAGAACGGTGATGCAACTTTTTCAGTGCATATTTTTTATTAATTATTGCTGTAAAGAAAGTAATTATAAACGCGTATTTAAAAATGTAGTTAGCAGAGATTGGCAACAGTAAGAAATTTTATTAGAATGTAAAAAAAGTATTTCGATGATGAAATTGTGGCTGTCAGAAGCGGAAGTAGATTGAAGATTCGCACATACTTTACTCCTTACAATGCAAAAATGATGTTGATTCTACTTTTAACTGGTAATTACTCTAACATCGTAATCGGTGACTGAAATGTTGGAACTCATAATTAGTTTGTCGATCTTAAAATTATAATATTATTTTTTTAGGAAGGAAGGAATTTCAAGTAAGTAAAAAAAGGACTGTTAAGAACTTTGTAATCTGAAATAAATTATTCGTTGAATTTCTATTGTCATCGATCGCCAATCGTTACGGTAACTTTTTATCCCTATTAACCGTTTACTTGTCAGTGCTAAGCAATTGTAAACATTTAAAGAATATTGCCATCTCATAAAACAAAGTATTTAAAATTTCAAAAAGAATTCAAATTTTTAAAAGCTTCGTTTGTTTCTGAATTCAAAAAGATATAAATAGAAAATATAAATTTATCAAATAAATAGAAATTATGGTAAAATAAAGATTAAGTTTCGCATTGCTTAGTATTACCGATTTCTCAAATGGCTGATTTAATTTAAAAATTCAAAATTTTTAATAATGAAAAATAAAATTAATATACAAATTTAAATTGGCTTTTTACTTTTTACCGTTACGAGTAATTGCGTTGATATTATAGTGCAACAACTCTAGGATAGATCGAACCGGTTCGATACAATCTCGGGAATAAAATTGAAAATGATGAAAAAAAGTAAGGTCAGGAACGAAAAATAAATTCATCGCAAACGACTTTCTGTAATAATTACCTCTCCTTCACTTTTACCTCCAGCCAATGCCTGACGACGTTTAATAATTCAACTGCAAAAGCGGCAACCCCATTTCGAGTGCCAATTTTCCGCCCGCTTGGCGATTCACCCATGCATTTTTTCATTTCAGGTTTGGCGACATTTATCGCCCTGGCAACCGTTCTCCGACGAAGTGTTCCCTGAAGAGGTAGGCGTGGTCAGAACCAGGTGCGAGCGTCTGTTAGCCTGGCCGCAGATCCACGTGGTTGAGCCGAACGGAGCGGAGGCCATGTTTGGCAGGATGTGTGTTGTCATCGCTTTTTCGACGGATTATTATTTTTCTTTTTTGTTGTGGCATCGGCGAGAGTTCCACGAGCGCTCGCCGCATTTGTTTGAATTCAAGGTGAGTGTCTATAAATTCTATTACGATGGGGATGGCATTAAATGTGCATAATATTTTAAATTACGCAAATTAGATGTTATAGCAGGGAAATTATTGAAAGTTAATTATAAAAGGAAAGCAAATGTTTTGACGAACATATATACACAGGGGGATTTTCCAAATAAAAAAAAAAAAAAAAAAAATGTTTTGAAATTTATAAGCGTGAACGTTTAGAGAAGATTTAAGATGCTTTAAAGTGATTTCTAATTAATATATTTATGGTATGGTAAGAAATTATTCATAAGATGCAGTTTGATTAACATTCTACTCGGAAGTCGATTAAGTTTTATTAGTATTGCGGCTAAAACTATTCTTTCAACAGCATTCTGAATAAATGTCTTTGCTGTTCTTTTTGAAAATGCTTTTTTCTTAGCTTTCATTTTACATATTTCTAGTAGTAAAAGAAATAAAATATTTTCAAACAAATACTGACTGCACCTTTAAATTTTATTCTTTGCACTTTAGAACATGTCGGTTCGTTAAAAATATTAGAAATATTTTTTATTCTGAGATATATTTTCTGATATGCATATGTGCTCCGCAAATTAAATCCAAGTTACAGATATAAAGGAATCTTAAGTACTGTGCTTTATTGAAATATAAACCAAATTAAACAAAAACTTTCGCCTCTAATAAAAATAAAGCATTTTTGTTTAATTAAAATAAAGTCATTTTATAAACTGATTTGTCCTGCCGAGTTTTATTATACATGTGTTCCAAACAATAATGTTTATGTAGAAATTAGAAATTCGATAGTGCACGAACAAACTCTAGCTTTAGAAATGGCGTAATTAATTAGCGTAAAAAGATATATGAATTTTTGTAAAATAGTTAACTGAAACAAAAGTCAATGTTCTATTTATGAACAACTATGAAGTCTACTCGGTCTTTTCACTGCTATATATTCTATCTTACAAATACCGTAATATTTTATTGCCATTAAAAGTATCAGAATTCCATGTTTTTTTATTGCTCTATTCTGTTTCTCTAATAATAAGCAATTTACTTTTAAAAGTTGGAAATAAATGAAAGAAAAGATCGTCTGCTTCGTGGGTTAAGAGAAGTTTCCGATTTCGCCTGGTAGCGATTTTCTCCTCGAAGCGAAAACAAGATTTTGTTTTTAATAACTGAAAAAGCGTTTTATTTGCCCTTGGATAGAGTTTTATTTTATTTTTATTTTTATACATTTATTTATTTTTGCTGCCCCAGTGAATGTGCGAATAATGGGTATATTGTTATAGTGTATTTCTAAAAACTACTTTTTTATTACAGTTACAAGATTTGTAATGGCAGCTTTAATTGATTTGCGTTATCGTGTTTTTTATTCAATGAATAGAATAAAGTCGTTGAAAAAAGGCTATTTATAAATCAGCACTTATTTCTTTCACTTTTTTTTTAATTTAATGAGATTATTTTTATAAGCAATAGCTTTCAAGCACTTATAAATGCGAATGTAATCACTTAACATATGTAACATAACTTGTAACAATGTGAAAATAACTTGTTAATTAGTTACAAACTAATTAATTTTAAAAGAAAAATAAAATATCTTACGCTTCTCCGAATGACAACAAACAGATTTGTGGAAGATTAAAATGTTTTATACTAAGCAGTTGCAACTCATTTCTTTTAAATTGTTGAGCTTTTTTTAAAATTAAATTTAAAAGACAAATATATTACGCTTTACTACACAGCAATACATTTCATTTAAATCACTGAGTTCCTAAATATGAAGCATAAATATCTTACTCTGCGCCGAGTGACAGCCAATTGTTGTCAAATCGTCGAGTTTGTTATTCGGAATATGATTTAATTCTCACAAAATGTAAAATACATAGAAACCAAATTCGAAAACTACATGTGTTGAAATACGGTTGCTCTAAATGCCGCCGCTTTTCCACAATTCTATATACATACATGTAAGATTCTTCATTATTTAATAATTATTATTATGTTTTTATTATTATAATAATTAATAACATTAGTTATCATGTTATATAATTTATGCTTTAATTAATGTTTTAAATTCTTTTCTATTATTTTTTTATATAATTATGGTTTTGCTTTTATATAACCTTATTACAGCATCTTAGAATAATATAATTATTACGGTTTTATGTAACGAATAAAATGCATATCTTATCATATTACAATGCTTTTATGTAATAAACCGTGCATTTAGTATTCTCGTAGTTTGTGAGGATTAAACGACTTACTTAAATGTTTTATCATGGACCTCAGTTTTATAATGGAAACCTGTTGCATTGCATTTATATTGCGCAAGTTTCTGCATTTGAGATAAAAATATACTGAAAACCAAAAAATAAACAAAGAATTCTAAATCGCATGTAAACATATGCCGTCATAAATGATCTAAGATAAATCATTTTTTTAATATTTGCCATATTATTTTTTCATAAACAATACCTGGCGATAACATTTGGTGGCAACATCCTTTTATTTGAAAAGCGATATGGTGAAAAATGAAAGGGTCGAAATTAATAGCCCTTTTGGTGCTAAAAATAAATAAACAAATAAATGTGAAATAATTCAGATTTTAATGATGGCTCAGAAGGGCTTTTCTAAAGTTTAACATGGTTTATCAGTAGAGATTATCAACGGAGTTTCTGCAAGTGGAATAGCGAAACATGTTATAAGATAGTATATGAATATATTTAGACTAACATGAACATTATGTATTCTTTATATTTGAAAAGTAATGTTAAATGTTTTTAATTAATGTATCATAAATTAAATGCATTTTAATTTAAATCAATCAAATTAAAAGGTAGATTAGTATGTATTCTTAAGAACTGTATCCGTTGCTTTTAAATAGCTTAATTTGTTCTTCAGTAGCAGACAGATTTAATTTGAAAGATAAGTATCTTAAATTGTGCGGAATGGCAATAGAGTCAAAGGAAAAGTGAAACACATTTAAAATGAATCGAGGCAAAATGGCAAAATCGTGTTTAGAAGCTAATAGCCATTTTGGACTAACATAAAGAATCGACTAACATGATTAGAATGATTCTTGTAAAGTTTTGGTTTAGTTCATTATGGAAAAGCACACAAGGGCTATCTGTCTAAGGGGAGGGAGGACTTTCTAAGGGAAACTGGCGCGAATTTTGCTACTCGGCCGCTGTTGGACGATTTTTGTAAAGATGTGTGAATTTATATATCCAACTGAATGCCTAAATGTTTCTTTTAAAATATTTAACCAATTAAATATTTCAGCGTGTTCTTATTAGTTTTGGTTTGGTTTATGTTATTACGGCAAAGTTTCAAGAGCTATCTGCCTAAAGGGAGGGATGCCTTCGTGGAGGACTTTCTAATGTAAACTCGCTCGTAACACGTTAGGCATGGGAAAAACCACGAAAACGCCCAGGCTGTCAGCCCGTCTGCGGGATTAGAACCTCAAACCGAACTACTAGTGTTCAGCGATTTTACCGCTGGTGGGCTTGTGTGCTTATTGTCAACTTGTTTCTAGTGCCCTTTTTACTGTCATAGACTAATAACGTTTTTTTAGATCTTCGTCACGCCTGCTGGTATACAGAAACGCCCCACTAAAAACTGATATAGATACTCTGTGAGATTCTTAATATCTTTCCTGCGTTGGTATTTGACGATGTCGAATAGATCTTTAGATTTGAGCATCGGATCATTACAAAGACAACGGATTTAATTTCAAGAATGGTGAAATCCATGTCTTTAATAACAGGTAGTTAAAAATTCAAGCGTCGGTGAACAACAGCGTGTTCAGGGGGGTCACTTATTGATCTGAAATCCGAGATTTGTCGTAAAATCTTACTTCCCGAGTAGCTGGATCACCTATGCCACCATCCATTCCCCTAGACGCGGTTGAGACTTGTTTATGGGATGTATTTACTTTCGATTTTTTTATTTTTTATTCTCGTTTTACTTTTGCCATTTATTGCCACACTTTCTTCAAGCTTATTTATTTAGTTGACAGCAATAATAATAATAGTAAAATGAATCGTAAATCGCCCGGTTCTTTTTTTTTTTTAAACGGAAGTTTGAGGTTCTCTTTACGAGCTTTTACGAAAGAGGCTACAACACGCTGAATTCTTTTATATCCATTTTTGCCATTTTGTGGAAAAAAGAGTTTTTCATTTGCTTTACTACAGTGATCTTTCCTTCTTATTTGAAAGCTGTGTGATGATAAAGCAGCGTAGTGTTTACCTACGCAGTGTAAAAAGTAAATTATTGAATAAAGTAAATTATGTAAAGTAAATTATTGATGTAAAAGTAAATTATGTAAATTATGACTGTAAAAGTAAATTATTGATGGTAAAGGCAAATTATTGAATAGCCAATTATAAGATAGGCAGGAATTTCTAATAATAAGCTAGGCAGGCTATTGTGTTGGCAGGGCAATTGAAAAATGGACGATTTTGCATCGTACTGTCTGAGGTTAATTTTCATTCATTGAGATAGGCAATGCCTTTAAAAAGTTTTTAAACTAAGTTCGTACACAATCGAAATTTAACGAGAACATTTTTTAGCCATGCTTTCGCCTGTTCATGCAGTTGTTTGATTTCTTTGTAGAACTTGTAGAACTTTGGGATTATTTGGAAGCAGGCAAGATGAAAAATTAGCAACGCCTTCGCCGGAATCGAACCGCGGATCTCTCAATTACGCGCTGAGTGTGCAGACCGCCACACCACGAAGGCACGCTAAGAAGGCGGGAGAAATACCTTATATACTTCCCTATTTGAAGGACGACTGGGGATTTTAGGGAACACAACCGCCAAATCCTGGTTGTGGAAATTCATCATCCACCACCCTTTTAGTTCGGGCGCCACTGTAGAGACATTAGTATTATTTGGAAGCAGGCAAGATGAAAAATTAGCAACGCCTTCGCCGGTAATCGAACCACGGACCTCTCAATTACGCGCTGAGCGTGCAGACCGCCACACCACGAAGGCACGCTAAGCAGGCGG